GAGTTACAGCAGCAAGAACGGCTTTTGCTGTGTGTTTGAGAGGGTGAAAGGAGCGTGTCCTGTAGCCCCTTCCCGTGAGGAAAAGGTGCGTGGGAAAAGTCTGTTCTTGTGAGGACCAGCAGGTTGTGGTCACCTGCTTTGAGCTGTGCTGGGCTAACACAGCTCTTGAGAGAGCACAGCATTTTAGGTGGCTTTTGTCCCCTCAGGGCAGGCTTTGAGGGCTTCACCATGGACATGGGGGGGCAAGGGGAAGGACACAGTGCCTTTGTCCCTCCCTCAGCCCAGGGCGATTATGGGGGCTGTCCCCACACTCTGCCCCCTGCCCAAAGGCAGCACAGCTCCAGCTCCGTGCTGGTTCACACGGGCAGCTCCAAAACACTTTTCTGGACGCTGCCTCTTGGGATGGATGTTCGGCTTTGCTCGAGGGGCTGAATGTGGTGCCCCAGCAGGCAAAGAGCAGCCCCAGCTGGGAGGTGGGACGGTGGGACTGGGGCGAGCCCTGACCCCTCGGCCGAGCCAGGGGCGGCTGATGGATGGCACAGAGGAGCCGGGGGTCTCTGGGAGCGGAGCTGGAGGCGAGTTGCCATGGAGATGGGCTAATAAAGCACCGCAGCCGCCGCTCTGATGCTGCTCCGGCTGCACACGTTGGCTGGGGAGAAGGGGCAGCTGCCATGTGGGGATGGAGAGACAGAAGGTGACACCAGCAGAGTGGGACAGGAGTTTGGTCTGTAAGGCTGTTGAGCTGTCCCTGGGTGCTTTAAGAGTAGGAGGGAATGGGAGAAAAGAGCCTTCCTGTAGTAGTAGGGACAGGCGAACGGAAGATCACGGGATGTGACGGAAAGAGAGACCCTTCCCCCCTTCTCCCTGCCTCACACTATCTACTAACTCCAAAGCATGTAACCACACCTGTCCCAGTAGTTTTCCACTCCCGACTAACCCTTGAGACCCCACAACCCTCCTCTGACGTAGCAAAGACCCCCAAGACTATTTAAACCCATGAGATGAGATAAAAAAAGGCTTTCGATCGTCCGCCACATTGGTGCCAGCGTCTTTTGTCGACAGCCCGAGCGGTCTGGAGGGGCCGGACCGCCGTGCTGCCCCTGGAACCAGGTCGCCCGTTGTCTTTTATAAAGGCAACACCTTCCTCTCCCACTGGGAAGAGGAGGGCTCTGCTCTCTCTTTGGGAAGCAGGACATGATCATGGCGCTCCTTGGCGGTCAGTGACCAGCAGCTCCCAGGGCGAGGCAGAGTAGCTTTGTTCTGGCCGCCTGTGTGCAGGCTGGCTGCTTTCCCTGGCAGCAGGAGAGGGCTCCACCGTGGATGGCAGCTTGCAGGGTCCCCCTCACACAGGACTGGCACAAAGGACTCGGCTGTGCCCAGCACTGGGTCCTGTTTTCTCCACACGCCAACTGCTCACTGCCAAGGCGAGTGCCTGAGCCCCAGCAGGACATTCGCTGATGATCTTTCGTCCTTGGAGCGGCTCTGTGCCTCCCAGTGGCCCTGTGGGAGGTGTTACTGGGACCTGTCCCTCCCAGCACGCTGCCCTCCTGCCTCTCAGTGCCAGGGAAGGTCAGCTGTGCCCTGGCTCAGCCCTTCCCTGTAAAGAACTGCAGCCAGCTTCCCTGGATGTGGCTTCGGCTGGAGGGTGGGAATGGGAATGGCCTGGACTCGCCCCCAAGGGCTGTGTGTGCTGGAGGTTGCTGCACACCCCTAAGCTCTTGCTCCAACCTCCACCTGCAGAATGGACCCTCCTGCCTGGCTGTGGAAGGGCTCAAATCTGCAATTCCATTCAGTTCAAGGGCATTGCAGCATGGACCTAAATGCAAGCAGACTTTCATTCTGGCTTGTTAAGCAGGTTGATGGGAGGGAAAGGCTTTGCTAATTATTAGCAAGGTATTCCCAGGCTGCTGTACTTCCATTTTGAGAGATTACTCTTCAATAATATGGTGACAGCCACATTTTAACCTTGATCACCATAAGAAAGGTTTTGCCTCAAAGCCATGAGCTCCTGGACTGTGCCAGAGTTCAGGGAGGTGTTCCAGCAGGTAAAGGCAGAGACAGGGAGGTTAGATAGTTTAAAAAAAGAAATTAAACGCCTTATGATGGAGAGGTGCATTAAAAGATAATTGCTTACAGGTTTCACAAGATGTTTTTATGTCTCTTAAATTGATAAATGTATCCACAGAGACTGATACTCTTAATGGAGGGTTACCTTTACTTCTGAATAGAGCAGAGATCAAAGCAATTACAACTAGATATTGATAACACTACCCATACCCCCCAGAGAAAAGGTTGTCTAAAATTGGACTTCTTAAGCTACCTAACGCCTGCTTCCCTGGCCAAAGCCTCTTCTTTCCATCCTGACAGCATCCCCTGTTGTCCAAACCCCTCCTGTGCTACTGCTGGATAGCCCTTATGTCTTTAATTCCATCATCAAGCACTGTCCAGATGGTGGGAGCACTCACTTCCCTCATGGGTCAGTTGTTCCTCAGCACTGGCTGGGATAATGGAAGATTTCCACAGCCTCCCTTGATGTCTCTGCAGGGCTAACAGGTGGGGTGAGCAAATCATGAGGGGCAGGAAGGTTTTTGGGATCTCTGGCACAGCCTCTCTACTCCAGGAGGGCTTTGACTGGTGGATATTTTGATTAATGGTTTGGCAGCTGGAAGCAGACCCTGCTGTGGTGCACAGGTGCCTGCTCTGCCAAGGACTTGCATGAGCTGATTATCGTGTGGATCAGCACATCTGGAGGGGCACAAAGGGTTACAAAATGTCATCCACAGACCTCCTAATTTGGGAGGTGCACCTTTCTTAGGTGCTGCACCTCTTGCTCTGCTCTCTGCAACTCACTGTTCATGTGGTGCTCTCTTCTCTGTCTCACTGCAATTAGTCTCTTCCCCACCTTTGTAAGAACCTGCCGTGTGCTGTGGCTGCAAGGGGAGTGGTTCAACTTGATTTTTAGATTCTTGGAAATCTAAGAATCTTAGATCCTTCACTCTTACAGTGAAGGGCCATATGCCCAAGACTCGTCCAGGCTGCTGGCAGTGTCAGAGGCTTCTGAGTACAGGAGGCAGCATTTGGTGAAGGCATCTCAGGGCAGAGTAAGAGATGTTGCTCCTGGGGAACTGTGTATGAACTGTGTATGAACTGCTGTTCATGGAACAACAGGCCTCAAGAGAAGCATGCTTTTCATTGCCTCTGACTGTTGTTAGCAGTACTTGAATGTGTAAATCTTGGGATGCTCTTCAATACGAGCCATTGAAAATCCTGAGTCACTTCTGTCTCCGGATATGCCTGTCTCACTGATTCTGTTTCATGCCTCTTCTCAACTCCAAGGCAGCTCATGCCAGCAGCTGAATCAGTTTGGAAAAGAGGAAAAAGAAGTATTAGGACGATTTCTGCTCTCAGCCTCAAGGCCATCAATGTCCTTGAGTAGGCCAGGTCCCCTGTCTGAGCGTGGTCATCCTGGTGTGTTCTCCAGTGGAGCACCACCTCCCAGTGGGAAGATGGTGGGCCAGACCCTTGGGGCTCTTAGCTAAGGGAATGGCTGTGCCTTGGGACTCCCTCTGGGCTCTTCTCTGTTCCCTTGCCAACAGTCTTTTGTTCACAAGCATATAAATGAGGAACAGAAGACGTGGCTTGGAGGAATCATGGATGTAAGCAGGAATTCTGTGTGAAGAACTACGGCCAAATTGTGCTGCTCGCAGGGCTCTTCCTTAGCTGACCATGCCCTGAGTAGGACCCTGGATTAGCTGCTGGTGTCCTGAAATCTCTTCCTGAAAATTCGAGTTTCCCTGTGATCCTATGATTCGTCCTAGTTTTGGAGGCCAGCAAAAAGCTCCTCTGCTGGCATGCACACACAGCTGTCTTCTTGAGTGATGCTTTATATTATGGCAGGAGGAATTCAATGCAGAAACAGACTTTTTTAAAATGGCAACAGCCCTACACCATGTACTGGGTGCTGTCATTCATGTGTGAACAGCCTAAGGACAATTAAAATGTTGGCTGTCCACACGAGATCTCTCAACTTAAGTCTCTGCTGCTCAGACAAAATATTTTTCAGAGGACAGAAAATAACAACTTGAAGGTCCTGCTGCTACTGCAAAATTGCCCTGTGAGTATATAATCTCCATTCTCTGGGGTTGGATGTGATGTTGAGGGCTGGAGAAACTTATCTTGATTAGGGTTTGTGATGGTTCAGAGTTCCTGTAAGTGAGCCAAGCGTTGCAGTAACACTAAAGATGCTTCCTGCTCTGGTCTAAAACATGGCAGCTGTGACTGTGGGGGCAGTGACCAGTTTTTGTTCGAGATGTTGGTCTTCAGACCTTGTGAGCTCCTCTGGTCTTGCCTGTGGACCCTGCCCAGCAGAGGAAAGCAGAACTCTGCTGGCATTTAACCTGCTGCTTACAGACACATCTGGATACATGGATTAGTAAAGACCATCCTCAGATCACAGGGAGATAAAATTTGGCTTTGAAAGAGAGATGAGGTTCTCTTCCTACAGTCCAGGAATGTCACGATAAATACTGCTATCCCACTGAAGTCAGGATGGCTGTGTTCTGCAGGGATGAGGTAGAACCGTGACTGCCCCTAACTCTCTCCTGGAAGCAAGAACTGGGTCATTTTCTAATACCTCAGTGCAGAGAACTGACAGTTAAATTGGATTTAATCACCCATGCCTTGAGGGCCCTTGTCCTGAAGTATGTTTCCATGTTACTTTAAGTATTCAGAACCAAGAGTATTTTCCGGAGGAGCTCTGGGGTGGTCAGCAGTGCCTGCAGTGATGCTCCGTGCACCCACCCCACAGCCTCAGTGGTGGAGGGCTGGTTCTGTACCTTGGAGGCAACTGCGGCTGAGCCTCGCGCTGCGTGCTGAGCAGGGAGAGCTCTGCAGGGACAATATATTTTGAGTGTGTCTCACTGTCAGCTTTTGCCTTCCCAGCTTCGCTGCCGTGTGGCTCTGCAAAACCTCCCCGAGCCCAGCCGGCTCTGGCCAGCCCTTCCTCTGGCATCCCTGCATTTCCACACCACTTCTGCCCTCGCCTTCACTGCCAACACCTTGCTGCATTTTAACCTCTCTTCCCCTCTCCCCTTCTCTTCCCCGCGTTTTCCCCCTCTGCCTGTCGTTTTATTGCGATATAAGCCTCGGCGATCCCAATTTGTGGGCCAAACTTCCCTGTCCCGGCGGGAGACGCGGGATTCGGCCGGGCCCGGCAGCGTGGAGGCAGCTTGGGGTGCTGCCCACCTCCTCGCAGGAGCATCCGCGCCGTGAGCAGCTCCCCCTTCAACAGGTAGGGAGCAGCCAGCCCGCTCTGCACATCCTCCTGCGCCGAAAGGATGGCGGGGCTCTGAGGCCGGGGCTGGGCGGAGGACCCCGCGGCATCCATCGCTCGGGGAGGGGGCCCCAAACCGGGCCGAGAGGCAGCGACCCATCCCCGCTGCTGCGCTGCGGGGCGGGCGGCTCGGCACAAAGCGGTGGGTAAACCCTCCTCCGGGGCGCGGGGAGGAGGAGGAGGAGGAGGAGGAGGAGGAGGAGGAAGGCGGGGGGATGCTGCTCCCCTCCCTCCCTCCCTCCCTCGCTCGCCGCGGCCGGAGCAGCGCGCAGGCGGCACGGGCAGCCCCGGCCGGCGGCACGGCGGGCTGGGCGCGGAGCCCTGCGCAGCGCTGCGGACCCCGCGGGCTCCGGCCGCCCCCGAGCCCCGCCGGGGCAGCCGGTGAGTGCGGGCGGGCGGCGGGCGCGGCCCCGCCGGGGCTCGGGGGCGGCCGCGGGGCAGCGCGGAGCCGGGCCGGGGGCGGGATGGGGCTGCCGGGGGCCCCGCGTATTGTCTGGGGGTCGCGGACAATAGGCGGAGCGGCGAGGGAAGGGGGGGCTCGGCCGGGCGGTTCGGAGCGTCCCCGCTCCCGCGGCAACTCCCGCGTGTCGGTGCGGAGCGGAGCCGTGCCCCGGTGCTCCCCGCCGGGCATCAGCCCGCCCGGCTGCCGCTGCTGGCTGGAGAGCGGGGAGAGCGGCCGCGGGGAGAAACGCCTGGAGGAGGCAATCCTGAGCCCCCCTGAATGGAGCTGGACGGGGAATGCAGGGGAAGGGGTGAGCCGGGAGAAGGGTGTAGTAAAGCAAAGTCAAATTTCCCCCTGAATCCCGCAGCCGGGCCTAATGGGCACAGATGCTGTGTTGGGCTGGGGAGGGAAAGGAGTTTTGGGGGCTGCGGTTTCTGATGCTGGTATGAGGGGCGAGGAGAAAGGAGCTCCAGGTCTTTTCTCCTTCTTCCAGAGTTACTAGGACTGAGATATGGATCATTAAAAAGGAATAGCCCAATGCAATTAAGTGGCAGACAGTCCCCACTGCAACACTTAGCCATTGTTCCTCACTCTGCTTTCTGCCAGAATGATTCTCTCCTGGACAAGAGAAGTACAAATGAACAAATAGTCCATTTCCCTGGCCAATTGCATCTGTAGTGTCTCCCTCGAATCTGCTGCTGACTGGCTGCAATTGCAGTAGCATCCCCAGACAGAAACAGAGAACCAGGACCCTCTGGTGAAATTCCCGCTGCCGTGGGCTGGCAAGAGCAGCTCCCAGTGGCTGCTCACCCGAGTTGTTCTGATGGCAACAGCAGAGCAGGTTTGCTCCCTCACCCCTCCATCCCCTTAGTGCCCTTCTGGGGAGCGCAAAGAAGAAAACCAGCAGGTGCTGAGGCAGGACCAGCCCACAACTAGAAGATGCTACTTGTGGTTCAGGCAAATCTTCTCCTTTATGTAGTCTGCCTCTGAACTTTCTCCTTGCCCTGGAGGATGCGGGATTTTGAGGGGTTTTGAGGTGATGCTGTTTCGGTGGAGTTTGGCCAGCCTGCCCTTCAGCCTGTGCCCGTGGTGCCCGGGTGCCCGCAGTGCCCAGAGGCAGGAGTGCTGGAGCCTGACCTGCTGCTCCTTCCCGAGAGCTCCGAGCAGCTGGACGGATTGCGGCTGCACCTGGGCCCTCGGCACACACTCGCCTGGAGGCTGCTGTGTCCTTTCCCCAGCATCTCCTCCTGGTTCTCAGCGTGCAGCCGAGCCCGGCATGTGGGGAGGCACAGATGCATTGTCTGCACTGCTGCGAGACACCCTCGGCACAGGGGGACTGCTGCTTTTCCTCGCTTTGGAGCTTCTCATCACAAGTCTGCATCATGGAGCTTTTCTCCTTCTGTTCTTTCTTCTTTCTTCTCCCTTTGTCTGTAGACTGCCACCTGTCCCACTTCACTCTCAGCTTCTCCTTTGCCTTTTCCTGCTTCATGTGTTCTTTCACCTCAGGTTTTTTTTTGTCTAAGTAGACCATGTCCTCTTCAGCCCGCTTGTCTCCACACTGGAGACAGAGCCCAGCCCCTCATCTCAGTCTGAGTATTCCTGCCAACTGTTTACAAAAAGTAGCACAATACCCAGGCTGAACACTGACATAATTACATACCCAGCCAGAGAGTGTAGTAAATAATCCAGCTTTTCAGGCTTTTGCCCAGTGGTGAGTCTTTTGCCATCTCCTCTGCCCGTGGGCTAAATGTATTATCCTTGGCTTGCATTCACTGATATTCTGGAAGCAGGGAGTCAGCGCGGCCGTGTGTGGCATGGCAGTGGATGTACAGGGATGCCTTGCACCATGCACACTCCCCTGTGTGCATCGTGTGTCTCACTCTGCTCCCGGGGCCAGGCTCTGACAGTCGTGCTGGGCTCCTGCGGGGCTGCCAGGCCAGGGAGGCTGCTGAGGTGAGGGGATTGTTCCATCAGCGAGGGCAGGATGGCTCTGGGGTGAAGGTCAAAAGTGCCAGCAAAAAGCTGCGGGGCTTGGTGCGCAGCGTTTGCACTGCTGGCCAGTTTTCCAGAGGCTGGTGGGTACATGGAATTGCAGATACTGCCAGCACAGTTGTATTTCCAGTTGTGATTGTGAGCCTGAGTCTGTCTGCAGTTGCTTTGATTGTGAGTCAGTCTGTCTGCAGTTGCAGTAGCTGTGAATCAGTGTCTGCCTGTAATTATGTGGGTGAATCAGTGTTGGCTTGTTACACTATGAGTGCAAACGGTTTCCCATAGCAGTTGTGGGTGTGAATCACTCTACAGTCCCTCTGGATGTGTTTTTGAGTAGAGAGATGCAATACTTGGATTAATTTTGTTTTGATGAGGAAAAACTGTCAAGCAGCTTCTCATTTTGGAAAATTAAAGCTGGGCTGGGAGTTGGGCACAGACCTTATTCCTTTGTTACCAGCAGAACAACTTACAGAAGAAACCCACTTTAAGGCTTGCTCCCAAGATTTACATGTCGATCTAAACCTTTAATTTCTTTGCCTGGTGTGTCTGCATCCAAGTGTCTTCTTCTGCTGGCGTCCCTTGCAGAGCTGCAGACAACACATTTGATAACCATCACGTGTGCCTTGTACCTTCTGTGTGTGGCAGATTCACGGGAAGGTTGTTTATGGCTCCTACAGTGCCTGTGTGTTTGCAGGGACAAGCCAGAGTGTGCCTCTTGGGTAGGTAAGCACAAACATTTCCATGGCCAGCACTCGAGGACTGTGTGGCTCCTTTGCCACGCGCCAGGGCTGTTTCTCTGCGTAGGTGGCAAACAGCAAGTTGGATTCAGGTGGACGGAGGTGCTGCTGCCTGTTTCTCAATCTCTGATTTCTCTAAAACGCTGTAGCAGCTTCTGGCCTTCAGCAGCATCTGTACAGCACCGGACAGTGCTGAACTAGAGGCAAGCTGGAGGAATCTGGGTGACCTCAGGTGATGGAAGCAGAGCCCTGGGCTGGATCCAGGCTCCCAAACAGCCCGGCCCTGTGCTGGCTGCTGCAGGTGGGCTGGGAGCTGGCAGGGCTGGGCTGCTGAACTGGGAGTCGGCACACGGGGGTCCCGGCGAGCTCCTTTCAGAACAAAGGGATGCAAACAACCTGGGAAGGGAAGGGATGCGAGACAGGGTCTTGTGAAACACCCCAGCGCCTTACTCCGCCGTTTCCGGGCTTCCAGATGAACTGTGGCTGCTCATTGCTGCCCCTGCCCTCAAATGAAAAGATGTTTTTGTTCCAAGGGACCCTCCTTTTCAGCTGGAGTGATTGAGAACTGAAGAAAACCCTCCCCAGCAGGGACACAGGGCAGTGTGTGCCTCGCCTGTGTTTATTGCTGCTGCACTGAGCACTTGCTGGCTGCTGTTTCGGCAGAGAGAGCTTGGAGCTTTGCTCAAAGAAGCATTAAAGAGGCACACCAGTGGTCACCAGAAGCCTGGTGTGCTCTCATAGGGTCAGGGACAGCTGGACAGAGCCCAGCCCGTGCAGGCTGGATGATTCTGCAGTCCTTGAGGGGTGTTGGAGAACCTCTCCTGCTTCCTGGGACCTGTTTTGGAGAGCCTCCAGTGCAACGAGGAAGGGCTTTAATGAGCTTCTTGTGCTGTGCAAAGTGCTCCTGAGTTTGGGGGTAAATATGCAGGTGTTGTGAGGTCACCTAGAGCGCTCTGCTTGGCTGTGCTGCCGTGCAGGTGGGCAGATGGTGCTTGACACCACCAGGGTCTGGATCACCCTCTTCTTTCTGCACAGAAGTGCTTTGATCTGAGCTTTTGGGCTGAGGCTGCTTCTTCTTCCCAGTCTGATTTCCAGCTGGCTCCCAGCATCAGCTCCTCACTGCACCGCCCTCCCTGGGATACCCGAGTTGACAAAAGATGTGCAGCTGCTGCAGGTCCTGGGGGCTGAGTGGGAGCTGTCAGTGCTCTGTACCCCTCCAGCTGATGCCGCTGGTGTCCATGCATGGCACGTGGGGATGCTGATCCAATGACACCACATGTGGACAGCATCTCTGGATGCACTGCTGGGGCCAGTTTGTCCTTTGGGCTGGTTTCTGAATGCTGTCTGCCTGGTGAGGCTATTGCTGAGTGAATCAGATGGTTCCCCTGGCTGTGCATCTTCCCAGGAGGCAGTAATTCGGGTGAGATACTCATGTGACTCTCACAAACGTGCCCAGGTGGGCTTATGGGCTTCTTCTGCCTTCTTTTCTTTTCTGGTGCTTGCAGTAGCCCTCTCTCTGGCCATTCTCTCACATTTTTTGCAATTTTATCTTTCAGTCTCCACCTCCAGAGTTCTGTGTCTCTCCCTTGTCAGCAGTAAGCCTGTGCTAATCACTCTTTCCTAGGAAGGCACTTCAGAATATTTAATGGTTTCTAGAATAAGGATTTCTGGGAAGATCAGGCTCAGCGTGCCAAGTCCAGAGATACCAATGTTGGCATAGCTACTAGGGTACCTTGCTGATTTGGAAGTTTCCAGCACTTTTTTTGGTTCCCAAACCCACTTCAGTAGGAGCAGGGGCTGGAGCATGTCGCTGTCATGAGGGAATGAAGGAAGGAAGCTTTTCCAATTCCTTGTTCACAGCACATCCAACAGGAAGACTGTATTTCCCTGGAGTGCTGTTGTGGTACGATGCTCTGGAGATGGGACAGATTGTCTTGGAGAGGAGTGGGAATGTTTGTGAAGCCCTTAGGTGTGTGCTTATAAAGACACCTGCCAAATTCCATGTGTTGTGAACTTCAAGTATCACTGGATTCCAGCTGCAGGATGTCAGCGGGGCTCCTTAGGAAATCTGCGTTGGATTCAGCTGTGGAGGTTACCAGCAACTGCTCAATTAGTGCTGAGTGCATTTGCTAACTGTGCCATTAAGGAGTGAGCCGTGGACAGATGGAGGAAGGAAGAAGTGCAGGGCTGCTCTGAACACACACCATCCCTCCAGACTCCATCTTGCACAGACACAGAGGAGAGCCAGAAGCTCTGGGGAAGATGTTCTGTAACTTATATGGAAGAGGGGGTCAGTCTGAAGAGTCGTACCACTCTTTTCTGAGCTTGAAAATGTTGGCATTCTGCACTCTTTCTTCATGGGCACTGTTCAGTTTTCCCTTCAGCAAGTCCTAGTAAGAGATTTGATTTTTTTTTCCTTCTTTGAGGCTGTTAACAGCCAATTAACATTCCTACACCCTCGCTTGGTTACACACAGTTAAATGCACGTTGCCTGCATCCTTCCTCCTCTTCCCGAGGATCAGGGATCCCTGCAGGTATTCAGATCAAGGCGTTGGCTGATTCAGAGCTTTCCTGAGTGGGAAGTGACAGCTGAATAGCCTCGCACGGGGACAGCCCCAGCAGGGCTGGAGGAGCTCCAGTGCTGCCTTTCCTGAGGCTCCCGTGGGTGTTCCCATCCCTTCCCTGTGCACCGAGGGCCCCCTTCACCTTCTCTGCCATCAGCACCCTCTCCAAGAGCTACTCCTGTGTGCTAAAAGCTGAGGAGCTTGTGGGAATCCAGGGCTTCCCTCTGGCTGCCCTGGCAGCTCTGGGACCCTGGCAGGGGTCAGGAACCCCCCTGGACAGAGCCCCCAGAGGCACTGTCTGTGAGCTCTGTCCATGGAAAAGAGTTTTCAATCTTACAGGATCAATTACAAGCTCTGAGTGTTTGATAGAAGTAATAATTAAGTGTGGCACGGGTGCAAAAGTAAAATTTTAGAATTCTAGATTAGGGGTCCAAAGGGCACAAGATGGAGGAAATTGGGTGTGCCTTGTCCTTTTTCTCCTTCTTCATGCCCTCCATGTTTCACTGTGGTGTTGGCATTTTTCTGTTGGTTCAGGCTGGGGACACACTGTCCAACGTAGGTGACAGATATTGGCACGTTATTGTAAATCCAGCACAGGTAGTTTGTGGTATTTAATGTTTGTACCATCCCACTGAGGGCAGAGCCCCACACGCTGCCCTGCAGGACAGAGCTGCGGCAGGGCAGCAGAACATGTTAGAGATAAACAGAATAAACAACCTTGAAACAGCACAGACGATTCAATTTATGACTTCTTTGGCAGCGGGGCCGACAGAGATTTTCTACAATCTCAGAATCATCTCAATACCACAGATTCCGACAGAGCTCAGTTACTGGGCTGTTGAAACCTCGAGAGTTGTTTTACAAACTGATTTTATTAGGGAGGCTGTGTGGCCAGGAGAAGCTGTTGGGCTTCTAAAGCACTTGCACCAGTTGAGATCTTGTGTGTGCCTGTGGCTGGGCTTGCAAGAGCCCCAGGAAAGGGGAGAAGTGATGCTGAGAGCTGCTGTGCCACGGGAACCACACTAGGATCTGGCTTTGGGGAGCTCTGGGTGATCCCCTGGACTGTCTGAATGGTGAAATCTCCTCTGCAAAAGCCTCCTTGTATTTTCCAACACGTTTCTTGCTTGGCAGCAGGGTGATGAGCAGGACTGGCTCTGCTTGACGAGGAAAACGCCCTGCAGCCTCTCCTGTCCAGCTTCCCTAGCAAAACACAATGCATGAACCAAAGGAAAGTGGAAGAAATGGTGCCAAGCTGTTTTCCATGATGTGTTGTCCTTCCCGAGCCCCTGAGTGCAGCCCTAGCAAAGCCCTGTTTTGGGGATGTTCTCAGTGTGAACAAACTGAGGCGTGACTGGCAAAATATCTGCTTGGGCAAGTGGTGCAAACAGATTTTGCTCCCAGTGCAGGTATGTAGAGCTGGTTCTGATGCTTCAAATGAGACTTAAGCACAAATTTGACTTAATTCGAGCTCCCCTGTTGTCCTTGGCTAGCATTTTCCTCATCAGAACTATCCAGAGTAGGAAATTAATGTTCGTGTCTGTATAATATTGAAGGAAAATTCTATGAACAAGGTTTGGTGAAAATGCAGTTGTTCTTGGCTCAGATAGGACACACCCACGTGGAAGGTGTTCTGGATTTTGTCATTGTTCCTGAACCTCCAAATTCCCTTGTTCCTCCATTTTCTAGTGCTCTTTTTTGTTTGGTTGTTTTTTTTTTTTTATTAGCTTCACTTTTCCACTGTTGGTGCATAATCTGCCCCAGCCCTGGTTTCACCAAATCTGATAAAGATGGTCCCAAATGTTCTACAGGAGCCACAACAGTTCCTGCAGAGCCAGGAGGCACCTGCTGCAAATCCAGAGTGTCCTCACTTGTGTGGGGATCCCTGGTCAAAGTCTGCTGGCTGTGCAAATTCTGCCCAAACAAAGCATTTTTTGAAAACAACAGTTGAATGGGAAAATGTTTATTTCAGTGAAAATTTTCAGTGGTGTTTTGGGGAGAGGAGAGGATAGACAGCAATAGTTCTTTTATTTTTTTATAATTTTTTTTTTTTTTGCTTTTGGCTAGTATTTGAAATTGCCTTAGGGAAAAAAAATCAATTAAATACTATTGTATAATATGCAAGTTGAAATGAAATGAAAGGGAAGAGTTGAAAGGAAATCTGTTGAGAAGCTGCTTATTGAAGAAGTTCTGAATTTGCCTTGTAAGAAAAATCAACATTTTATCTGTCCTTGTCTTGATTTGGAACGAAGTCTCCCCGAAACGTTGGAATTTCCCACAGAACAGATGTTCAGCCAGTTAATTTGTGCTTCATCAGCAAATACTTGAATTTCCAAGCCTGTGTGTCCCTTCTCAGCTGGAAAGTGGGGAGAGGCAGAGGAGGCGTCCCAAATCAGAGCTTTTCTCACCAGAGCTGCGGGTGTGTCCGTGCCAGAGGCTCCTGCAGCTCCTTTGGTGTGAGGATGAGCTTCCCCAGGGGGCATTCAGGTGGAATCCTGATTCATGAAGCCTGAGCACACTGTGCCTAAATTAATCCGTGCATTAATTTCTGCAAGGACTTTATGTGGTGGTGCAGAGGAAGGTAAAAGTAGCTGGGGCTAAATGCTGGGTTGGCTGGTTGGGTGTTTTTCCCCTTGTGCCTGCTGGTAGTGAGGATCTTGCCAGAACAAAAGCTGAGGTGGGTGGTAAGCACTGGTGGTGTCTGGCTCTTACTCCTCCCGCCTGCAGCTGGTGTGCTCCTAGAGGTGAAAAACAAGGATCAGGCACAGCTTCCAGGGAGAGTGTAGGGCCCCATAGCTGTGGGGAGACCAGCTAAATGCAGAAATGGGATAAAACCCACGGCCCAGCCTGGCCTTGTGCCTCCCCTCTCGCAGGGGCAGGGGCAGCCAGGTGCACACTGAGGACACGTGTGATCTCCAGCTGTTTCCAGCTGCTGCACGGGATTTCTGCTGGGGGTTCTCCTCTCCCACATCCCTGTGCAGAAACCCCTGCTCCCTGGCAGCACCCAGATAGTTTCCCTGCCCCCTTCCTCCTGGCCCAGAATTGCCATCCAGCTGCTGAGGTTTGGCACCTCTTTCATGCTGGGGGGAGCTGCTCGAGGCTCTGCAGCGTTGAGTGGGGAAATCCAGGGGTCACATTTGGCTGGCACCAGCATCTTGCCCTGGTTTCTGCCTGCTGTGATTGACTGGAGCCTTCTCTGCTGGCTCTGGGGTCTCAGAGGGGCTGGCTGAACCCCCCAGGTGCCGGGGGGGTTGTCACGACAAGCTGTATTTATCCAGGCTGTTGCTTGGCAGTGCTGCTCCAAGGTGCATCAACATAATGAGATGCATAAAAGGAGAAGGCAGTTAAATGTGCAATAACATCACAATAAAAGTAAAACTGAGCATTAATGAAAACTCTGAGCACACTAAGTGTAGTATCGTCGAGCGCTCCCAACACCTTGGGCCTCGGTGGTCAAACTTCATAATAATTTCTGGCAGTGTCATTACCGGAATTAAATGAGGGTTTAACTGTCTAGAAAAAGATGTTGGGAAAAAAAAATGGGTCTTGAGACTTCACAAATGGTTCTGCTGTGTGGCTGTTACTGAGGTAGCAGAGGTGCCAGGTGAGCTGGGCACTGCTGCAAGGGGCAGGCTGTGACTGAGCCAAAGGTGGGGTTACTTTGGAAAGTGAGCTTTGCTCTTGCTGCTGAAGCACTTGGGGAGCTGCAGGGTCTGCTGTGAGGATGGGGTGAGAGTTTTAATGTGTGTACTGCTTGGCTCTGCTGTGATGCAGCTTGCCAGGGCCAGCAGCGCTCCAGGCCACGATGCTGCCTTTGGTTCCTGAGGGTTTCCCCAGATTTCAAATGCAGGACCCCAGAAATACTGATGGCTGCCCAGCATGAAAAATTGAACTGTTTGCTTTTCCCTAGTAATGAAATCTCTTTTCTCTCCTGTCATTCCCCTCTGTCCCTCCCTGCAGGTTTGGAGGCTTGTTTTGCAGTGGCTGCACAGACACCATGGCGCTGAGGCTCCCAGGAACGGGGCCCTTCTCCCTCCTCAGCCTTGGAGTCCTGGTCCTGCTTCTGGCACTCTCTGCTGTTGCTGGGTAAGGTGGTGAGTGCTGAGCTGTTGGCCAAGGCTGCAGTCCTCTTACTGAACTTAAATATCCCGGGGTCAGTGTGTGTATGAAGCAATCCAGGGCAAAGCACTAAAGGGTCTCTGCTGTGTTTGACCCTCCCCTTGTCCCCATCCCCATGCCTTTCACCCTGGGGCTCTTCAGTCCCTAACGTGGCTGACACTGGCATTATTTGAGGTGCTCTCACCCAGATCAGTTGTCAGTGTTTTTTTACAACAAAACCTATTTTCAGATTTGGCCTCTGCACAATTCATTCTGGGCAAAGACTCTGCTTGCCTGAGTTTTAACCTGGAAGACAGATTCCTCCCCACCCCATTGAATATTTTAATAGTATTTTAAAGAACAGAAAATCAATCTGCTTCATCTGTTTGGCTGTTAATGGTGTAATGACCCACGGGCAGCACACCTGACCTGCTGCAGCACCAGGGTTCTCTGCCACCCTGGCTGGGCTTGCTGCTCTCCTGTGCCTGGGTGTGCAGGCTCTGGCTGTCCTGGCAAGCAGAATGCTGCTGCCAGCCTCCCCTTCCCAGCCTCTGGAAGCTGTCTGGAGGAGATGAAAGCCTGTTAGTCCGTGACTGCATCCCGCCAGAGCCTTTGCTGGGTGAGCTCGGGGAGCCCTTCGAGGAAGGAGGACGGAGATGTGGGGAGGGAGGAGCTCTGCACAGAGGGAGAGAAATGCAAATAATACATGACTTCTATACAACATTTAGAAAAGCCTTTAGAGTGCCAGATGTGGACACTGCAGTGCTGTCTGCTGAGTTACAAGTCCAGAAGGGGTCAAGGATCTTTGGGCATGAAAAGATGTCGGTGCTGCCCCTCCTGCCCTGTCCTGCTCTGCTTTGTCCGCTTGGATCTGACTTTGCAGCTTGCCTTGCCCTGTGAGTGCTGACCCTGTGCTGCTGCAGGGGCACAGCCAGCCCTGGCCCTCACCCCGCAGTGCCTGTGGGGCTGTCCCCATGCCCTGTGCCTGCAGCTCTGCCTCCCTCCCTGTGCCTTTTCCTGCCCACCCTGCATTCCCCGCTGCTCCCTCGCAGCTGGGATTGCTCACAGGACTGCTCCCCAGGAGGACTGGCTTCCCAAACTGTGTGTGAGGGGACCCCCGTGCTGATGTGGCACAGCTCCCCAGACAGCCTGTGCACAGGTGGCAAGGTAATGACTTTTCCTCAAACCTATCCTAATTAAATTTGCTGTAAACCTCCGTCCTTCCTGCCTAGAGGATTTTAATTATTTTAAAACCTTGATCCCGCACATCTCTTTGCAGTTCCTTTATGCCTTGCTAAAGGGCAGCTTTAGCTTTATGTTAAGGTGAGGTGAGGCAGCCCAGAGCTTTCCTGGGAAGGGAATTATTAGCCCAAATCAGGTGCCAGGCAGGGGTGCTGCTGGCTCTCCCCTGCCTGCACCTTCCCTCATCCTGCCTACACCACTGTTCCCCCAGCACCTCCCGAGTGAATCCCACACTGCTCACATTGAAGTCAAACCTCAAATGTCAGGCTAAGTAAAACAGCTTTGAAATTTGTAAATTCATTTTTCCCATCACCGCTGAGCCTCCGCCAGGAGTTCCTTCACAAAAATCCATCCTCTAGCTCTTTATATTATGGGTAATTTTTAAAGATAGCTTATAAAACATTAATGAACGAGCTTTTCATGAGCATGCTAGCTATTCATAAGTTATAGATGGTTATATACTCATCAGCAGACACTGGGACAGCTTGCTTTTAACCATGACATCTATTGAAAGCTGGTACAATTGAAACCCCATTAATTACTGCAGGCATTTGTTAAATTTCTCAAAACTCTTCTTACCTGCAGGGAGTTCAAGTCCAGATGAAAAGCCAAAACCAGCATTTGGATTCAGCTGGAAATCTTGGAGGCTGTGATGCAGTTTGTAATGTCAGACATGTTTTGATGTTTGGGTCTGGCAGGTTGCATTAGGGCTGGGTCAGGTGTTATCCCATAGGGTTATATTATCACCCTATGGGAACTGGAATTTCAGCACTGTGTTACCCTCCTGGAGGCTCAACTTCCTGGCTTGACCACTCCTCCAGGTGCTGCTTTGCTAAAAAACAGAGGCCAAGTGATCCTGTGAGAGGTGGGATGTGCCCCTGGAGAAGCAGACCTCAGGCACTTAAAAGGAAATTTCCCGGAGTGTTTGGTCAATGAAGCCAATGAAAATTAATGTCAGAATTGCCCAAAAGGGAATATTTCAATTAACTGCAGCATTCTAAATAGTATTGATTCAGCCTGACTCTAAAAGTACCCATACCCTGCTCTCAATTTTTCCTCTTTTGCTAGGAAGTACTCTTTGCTCTTCTTCTATTTTACAGAATCTGGGTTTTCTGCTGGAACACTTTGATAGAGAGCTCTAAGCCAGCTCTGGTACATGTCACCTTACTGACACTTGGCAGTGTATTTACAGGTGCACCAGCAGTGTCAGGGGTAGCCAGTCTGACCTGGGATGGGATGCAGTAGGATTAAGCTTTGAACTCCTTAAATAATACTCCTTTTTTTTTTTTTTTTAGGTTTTTTTTGGGTTTATTATTTTTTTCCCCCAGTGGCAGCCACACATCAAAGGACATAAGGCTGGGATGGGAAGGAAAAGGGCAGAAATGTTAGAAAGTGACAATTTAGGGGCTTTTCTTCCCCAGGATTACATTTCTGATGGTCATAGGTGCTGTCCTTGGTAATTGGAACCATGAACTGCATGTCCACCAGCTCTGGTCTGTGGCATTTGTGGTCTTCCTCTGGGCAGTGTTCCCCAGTTATTCACCTCTCCATTTAGTGCCAATTTGCCAGTCAGAGCTTCCCTGCTCCCAAGGGGCTCCTGTAGCTGCTGCTCAGCATCCCTCTGCTTCAGCAGCCTTTTTTCCCCTGCCTGGCTGGGCTTCCTCAGCCACCTCGCTGCCTGTTTCTGCCTCTTAATCTTTTTTTTTTTTTGTTTTTGCCTCATTTGTCTCTCTGTTATTTCCTCTTCCATCTTCCTTGAAAACTCTTCATCTCTATAGATTTTTCTTTTTGTTTTCTGTTACTTAATCTTCTGCCTTTCCATTTGTTTTGGTCCTAACAGCTATTTCTGTTGGGGAAAGCTGTGCTTGAAGCCACAGCACTGCTGCTCTGTGTCATCTGAAATCTCTGTTAGAGGCAGGTGGTTCCAGAAGGACTCACAATCTCCTTTTCTGTTGATTGAAAGGGAGACACAAAATTCAAATGTATTACTTGAGCCCCTTGTGTTTGCAAAACTGCATTGAAGATTTTCTTCAGTGAGATGTGCTTTTTTAGAGGAATTTACTCCTTGTTTTATTCCACCTGGGGCAGAATGTGTTCTGAGGAAATCATCTTGTTTGGGGGCTTGTAGGCTTCTTGTGTTGAGCAGAGCTGGGAATGTGGAAACTCATTTGTTTTTCTAAACAGGGAAAGTTCAGCAGAACGCAGAGATGGTTCACTAAGTGTTTTAATGAAGAGGCTTTAAGCCTGTTTACTGGATCCTTACTTTTCTGTCTTCCCTCTTCCCTGGGGCAGAGATCTTTGAAATGGCTCAATCTGTCAAATACCTGGTGTCACTTCTTTCATGCTGCCTGTAAGGAGATAGTGGCACTTCAATAACTGAGCTGCCCACAGCCTCTGCTCAGAAATGCCCATTTTTCGGGGCAGGCAAGGGATCCTGGGGCATTCCTGTTAAAATAGGGCTCCTAAAGCACTCCCCGTGGTGCTGCTGGATCTGGGCGGTGGGGAGGGGACAGTGAGGAGCTCTTTGAGGACAGGGGGGAGTTGACCCCTTCCCAGTAGCTGAAGGGTGAGCAGGCTGCAGAGTCTGTCCCTGGAGTCTCCATGGCACGCTGGTAGCTGGAGGTGCAGAGGTGTGCAGTCTGTATCTGAAGTCCCAGCAGACCGTCCTCTCTCCTTTCCTCCTGGCACTCTGGTAGCCGCAGGGTGAGGGGATGTGCAGAGCCTGCTGCCGAAGTCCAGCAGCAGCTGTCCCTCTCCTTCCCTCCTCGTAACACCAGGAAGAGTTTTTCCTTAGCTCCTGCTTCCCACAGCCCAGTCCAGTCTGGTCCTCTGTAGGTTATGGTGACAGGTCAAACACAGACTAGAGATGTGGTTCCCTTTTCCCCAACCAGCACACCCATCCAGCCACCTCCACTGTGCCCATCTTTTCCATTTAGGGGTGTTTTCATCCCCAAAACCCCCTCCCATGATTCCACTGGATTATTTTGCATCCCAGTCCTATAATGGTAGTGTGGCTGGGGGGTGTAGGTGATTCCCAGGAACAATTAGCTAATTAACAATTCAATGTCAGTACTTAGTTCAAGCCAAGTGTCCCAGCAAGGCTGTTTTGTTCATAACACCGTGGTGTCCTGCAAACACAGACTCTATCAAAACCTGGGTCCCACCCTGCACTTGAGGCCCTCCTCCCCCTGCAGCTCTGGGAGCCTGCAGGGTGCAGATTTCCCTCCTAACCTCTCTTCTGGTTTTTCCCTGTGCCAGGCTCTCTCAGAAGCACGTCTCGGACGTGGTGGATGACAGCAAGGACAACATCACCATCTTCACCCGCATCCTGGACAGGCTCCTGGACGGCTACGACAACCGCCTGCGGCCCGGGCTGGGAGGTCAGTGGGGCCGGGCTGCAGGGTGGCTTTGGGATGGCTCTGGGATGGCTCTGCTGCCTTCCCTGGGAGGGGAGGCTGCTCTGCCACGCTCAGCTTGTGGCTGTTCCCATTTTGGGGCTGTGGCTGTTGGGTATCCCGCGGGCTGAGAGTGCGAGCCCCGGGGTGCTGTGGTGCCTGTGACAGTGCAGGGACAGGCCTGCAGATGGAGCAGCTGTGGGTGAACCTATTCCTGATATTTTAGAGGCAGGAAAAGAAATTTCCTTTCAGAAATGCTGATACATTCATTTTTGGGAGTCCAGGGCTTCCCTCTGGCTGCCCTGGCAGGTCTGGGACCCTGGCAGGGGTCAGGAACCCCCCTGGACAGAGCCCCCAGAGACACTGTCTGTGATCTCTGTCCATGGAAAAGAGTTTTCAATCTTACAGGATCAATTACAAGCTCTGAGTGTTTGATATAATAATTAAGTGTGGCACGGGTGCAAAAGTAGAATTTTAGGATTCTAGATAAGGGGTCCAAAGGGGACAAGATGGAGGAAATTGGGTGTGTCTTGTCCTTTTTCTCCTTCTTCATGCCCTCCATGTTTCACTGCAGTGTTGGCATTTTTCTGTTGGTTCAGGCTGGGGACACACTGTCCAACGTAGGTGACAGATATTGGCACGTTATTGTAAATCCAGCACAGGTAGTTTGTGGTATTTAATGTTTGTACCATCCCACTGAGGGCAGAGCCCCACACGCTGCCCTGCAGGACAGAGCTGCAGCAGGGCAGCAGAACATGTTAGAGATAAACAGAATAAACAACCTTGAAAACAGCACAGACCAATTATGGCTTCTGCTTTGGCAGCGGGGCAGAAAGACAGAGACTTTCTACAGTCTGGGAATCATCAATACCTCAGATTCCAACATTCATTGAGGGGCCAGAGTGTATCCAGAGAAGAGGTCTGGAGCACAGCTCTGATGAGGAACACCTTGGGTACTCAGCCTGGAGAAATGGGGAGACATTCTCACTTCCTACAGCTCCCAGCTCCTGGCTGGAGCCAGGTGTGTTTCAGTCTGTTCTCCAAGGAAAAGAATGACAGGACAAGAGGAGATGGTCTCAAGTTACACCAGGGCAGGTTTAGATTAGATGTAAGGAAATGCTTTTCACAGAAAGGGTTGTAAAGCACTGGAAAAGGTTCTCTGAGAAATGGTAGAGCCACCATCCCTGAAAGTGTTGGTGTGGCACTTGAGGACATGGCTTAGTGCTGAACGTGGTGGTGGTGCTGGCTGCACAGTTGGACTTGATGACCTTTTCCCACCTGAATGCTTCTGTGGCTCTATACCACCAGTCTGCAGAACCTTCAGCCCATGCTGATGTTGCTTTTTAGTCAGTTTGCTTTGCTACAGAGCCTCTATCTCCACATCTTCTCAGTTGTTTCCTATGCAGCTGTCACCTGGCAGGCTCTCACCCCGTGCTGCTCTGGGCACCGGGCACTCACCCAGGCCCTGCTGCCTCCTGAGCTGCCCTCAACACTGCTGCCAACATTGCTGCTGCTGCAGAGCTTCTCTGCAAGCTCCGACGCTTGTCTGAGGTGCTTCAGAAGGAAAAGCCATGGTAGTCACCTTCCCACTAATGCCCACAGCTACAGTCCAAGGGGGCAGAGGAAACAGGGAGATGTGTGGGGGAGACAGATGTGTGACTGGGGAGATGTGGGCCTGGGTGGTTTCCTGGTGTGCTGGTGCTGTGGCAGAGGTGGCCCCTCCCAGGTGTGCCAGCTGTGTGTCCCTGGGGCTGCTGAGGGGATGTCCCTGCACTGCTCTGAGCTCTCCTGCTCACCAAAGGTGTGCTTTCCACCATGTGCTGTCCCGTTTCCTGCTGCCAAGAGCTGCTTTCCTGAGCTCTGGCATGCTGATGGGATCTCCTGGAATGGCGCTTTCCTTCCCCAGAGCAGCCCTGCCTCCTCCCAGCCCCGTGTCCAGCTCTGTGTCACAGCCCTCTGCCCTGCAGCTGCCCTTGGAGACCATGCCAAGCCTGGGGAGGAAGGGCTTTTCCAGCGAGCATCCTCACCTCTGCTGTGCTGCAGGACCCAGACAGGAAAGGGTTACAGTGTCTGCATAAGCAATCAGTCAGTTTTATTGCTTTTGTTGCTTGTTTCTTTCCCCCAGAATTAACTGTGGTCCCACTAATAGCTTTGCTTCCCCAGGTCTCCCCGATGGCTGTATTGATTTAACTGAACCGAGTTTGCACGGGGGCTGAGGGGGCATTTCTGCTCGCTGTAGGCTCAGCTGCAGACAAACCTGCTCAGTATTAACAAGAGGAGTCCCAAGAGCCCCTTGCTGGGGAAGTTCAAACCTTTCTTGGAACATCTTTGCTCTGTTGCTTTAGATCCTTTAATAACGTGTTTAACATAATAAATTGCCTGTGCCTGAGCCAGCCCTTGGGTGTTTAAAGGCTGCTTTCACCTCTGAGTTCCCTGCTGAGGCCCTCTGGCAGACCCAGGTGGGAGGTGGTGATGAGGGCTGCAGGTTTTGGGGGCTCTTGACTGGCAGTGAGTTGTCCTGTGTATGGAGCAGCCTGGTGAGCCAGGCTCTCCCCAGTTTTGGTTGTTTTTCCCAAGGCTGAAGCCTTGGAGGTCTCTTAGGAGGAGAATTAGAGGGAAACACCTTCCCCACTGCTGCTGGTGGCCAGAGAAGCAGAAATGGTCCTGCTAGAGACTCCAGAGTTTGGGGTTAATGGAAGAGCCTGGGGTGGCAGTCAGCAAGAGCTGGGCTCCTGCTGTCCAAGGCTGTGTGAGGGCTGGGAAAGGGATTGCCTTGCTCCCCGTGAGCAGCTGTGCTGCAGTGGCACTGCACCACGGACAAGGAACATTGGTTTTCTGTGAGACAGCACTGGGCAGTCCCTGTAGTCTCCCCATTTCCCTTGGGAATATCTCCCATTGGTTTTCTGAAGATGTCAGGCAAGAGCATCCATACCGTGCAGTCCACGGAAAGGGCAGATGTGGTGATCTTGTGTCTGCACCAGGCTGGTGGAAGGATGGAGTTCCCCAAACTGTGTGTGACCTGTGTGAAGCGGGACACGCAGGTTCTTTGCCTGGCTGTTCTGGACGAGGTGGCCCTGCAGACACTTGGGACATGGAGGGCTGAGCAGGTTTGGGGCTGCAGCACCTCTCAGGGCTCTGCAGTGCTGTGTGTGCTCAGCCCTGTCCCCTCCTTCAGCTTCCTGTGCGCCAGGAGCCGAGCAGTGTTTGTTTAGACTTTGGGAGAAGACACTGTGTAAGCAACAGAGTGTTAGTGTGGTGACTTCTCCCCTCAAGATAGCCTCTTTGTATTTATTTTCTTATCCCCTCTGCTTTCACCATCTGCTGCCACCCACTCTAATAGCTGCCATGCCAGAGCTACTCTTGCTGCCAGGATGCTGCAGACAGGAGCTGAGCAAGCCCATGCTGAGGCTGCTCAGGAGTGCTGCTGCTGCAGAGCAGCCTCCAGGTGAGGCTCTGGCTCTGGCCCTGGCCTGGCTGCTGCTCCTGCCCAGGCAGGACACATCAGTCCAGCCAGGAGTCTGTGCTGTCCCGAGGCAAGGACGAGATTAGTGAGCACACTTTGGGCTGCCTCAGAAGAAGAAAGGCAGGGGAAGGTGGCTGTCAGACCTCTTCTCCTGCAGTAACACCCTGCAGCACTGGGGATGCACCGTTTGTGTCACAGTGTCTGGCAGGAGGTTTCTCCCTGGCTCTGCCTGCTGAGCTAGGGCTGGATTCCTCTTAGGAACAGAGCAGAGTCTTTTCTTTGGCCTCATGACCATGGAAAGACAGTCTGGACTTGGGGAAGTGGTAGCTGCATAAACAGAACATCTTCTAGCACTCAGAGTGGGGCAGGAGGAGAAGGAGCTGTCAGCAGAAAACCTGTGTTTTCCCTGGGAGAACACGGGGCAGACTGGTTACGAAGTCAGGAGAGGAGCAGCAATGGACCCCAAGGAAATGCAGATCTGCTGGCATGGCCAACCTTGCAGGATCAGAAAATGTCCCAGGAGAGCTTCTGTGGGCAGCACGGGCCTCTGCTCCTGGTCTGGAGCTCTGACGTGACACAGATCCTCTGCCCTGCCTGGAGGGGCTGTGGTGGGAAGTGTCTGTAGCTCTCAGGTTCTCCTTGCTGGGGCTCCCCTCAGAGCCTCATTTATGCACCTGGAGCTTACCTGGAGCTCACAAGAGCAGGAGAGAGGAGATGTGGCCAGGAGAAGGAGGTGGAACTGGCTGACCAAGGGTGAGATGTCTCCTGTGCCCAAAAAGAAGAGATGCTCAAGTAGTGGGATGCAGATGAAGGGACCACAAGTGGTTCTTCATGAATGACAGAGGTACAGAACTACCCCGTGTGTCCCTGCAGGCCTTACAGGGCCAGTGTGGTGTCCAGCACAGTGACCATGAGGGAGAAGGCAGAGGTTGGGGGTTTGAGGGTCCGTGGTGCTCCCTGGACAGCTGAACCTCCTCTGATGAGTTCCTAATTGATGGCATTTGTGCTGCAGCTGGAACAGAGCCATCCTGGGAATGCCTGGGCATGGCCAGGAGGGGACACTTCCAGGCTTTTCCTTCCTTACAGCCTCCAGAATGCTTTAAATGTGCTTTGGCAATGCAGGGCTATTACTGCTGGAGGAGGAGGCACGTGGGACCTTTCCACAGCTGTTTGCAAAGCAGGGCAGGGGTTTCTTCCAGCTCAGCCACAGACTGGCTGTTTCACAGGGCCAGGAGCGTGCCTGAGGTACATGTGGAGTGAGGCTGAGGAACCCAGAGGGCATCTGGACAAAGTCTCTGTATTGAGTGGTTGGGAAGAATTCCAGAAAACTGCTGGGCTTTTCCAGGGCATGCCAGGAGGGAAAGATTTTGCCCCGAGGAAGAGGAGAAGAGAGTAGGCTGCTCAGTTTTCTAAGATGAGTTGTAAACATCCTAGATAAGCCAGTTTCTCCAATTGCAATTAAAAAGCAATTTGTACCGTGTTAAGCCAGGCTGGGATCGATGAGTGTTATCCCTCCTGGATGCAGCATGACTGACAAGGTAACTCCTGCTATTTCTCTGAAGCCTCTGCAGCATCTCTGGGGTCCCTGACCAGCCCAGCTCTGCTGAGGGGGTGCTGGCTGCTGAGCATGCTGCCAGGCCACCTCTGCACCTCTGCATCTGGACAGCTGAGGTTTGGGAGCCTCCTGGAGTGTCCACGGGGTTTAGCAGCAAACACAGGCACGATTCCTCGGGCAGAGCAAGGCCCTTCACCCCTTGGGCTCCTTCTTCCTTGGGGACAGGGTGTGACACCCATTCCTTGTCCCTGGGGTGGTCTCATCCAGGCAGAGGGGACGCCCAGTTTTTACCCTCCCAACTGGGTCTCTCCAGAGGGTGAAAGCAACCCAGGCTCCTCTTCCTCTTCTCCACTGTGCTGTTCTTTGGTGCAGCACCTCCCAGCCCACGCTGGGCTCCAGCAGGACTTGGTGCAGTCAGGGCGTGCTGCTCACAGCAGGACTCAGATCAGGGGTGCCCACCTGGCCTGTGGTGCCTTTTCTCTGTCCTTACTGTATCAGCTCTGCCTTGCTGATGGTTTCGATCTATACCTGTTAATATTTATCCTGCTGTTGTATTTCCATGATTATTTTGTCAGCAAAGTGCACCTCAGCTGGAGTTTCTCATTTCTGCTGTTCAGTGTTCGTCCTGCTCTGTTAATGATGGTGTGGTTTGGCACGATGGCTCCTGAGTAACATCTGTATCCCTGCCTGGCCACCTGTATTTCACTAATTCAGGTGCTGATGGCCAACAGCTTTTGGATTTGGATTCCCTTTAGCTTGAGACATTCCCAGGAGATGCTTGGTGTGCTACAGTTCAGTGCATCTGTCATTTTGGCCTGACCTCCTGCAGGTAAGGACCTGTCTGGTACTGTGGGAGCATTAGGGCAGAGGGACTGAAATAGTCAGAATAACTAAATTACAGAACTGCCTTCTCTTGAAAGTACAGTGCTCCCCAAAATGAATGAGCAAGACCTTATCTGCCTGGCAGGATCCAAGAAGAAATCTGTTTGCAGTGAAATTAACCTATAACAGTGGCAAAAAAAATGTTAAATTGTCCAGATGGAAGTTTACGGAACTTTTATTTCCTGAAATCTGGATGAAATGTTGAAATTGTCCTTTTCACTTGTGGATAGGTTTATCACCTGTGTGTGATAAAGCTGCCTCATAAACCTTATCTAGACCTAGTGTTTATGTGAAACACAAACATGAGATGACAGAGAAACATGAGATGACAAGCAGAGTTGGCCTCTGTTGTTTATTACAATTTCTAGGGTTTCAAGTCTGTGTTTAATCTGTTTTTCTGTCTTAATGTTCCACTTCTCCCAACTTCTCATCTCTTCTCTCTGATCTGACTTCATGTTTTGTATTGATTACTCCAGGGAGGAATTTGATCCTTTCCTAGGAAAAAAAACCAAAATCCATGTCTTATCTCAGATTTTTGTCTCTGTCTGAGCTTCCTTGATGAGTTTTAATTTGAAGCTGAGGCATTGCCTGAACAGCATTTCCTTCTGTTTACCTTTCTGGGCAACGGGGACCCTGCTCCGCTCATCAAACTTCTGAAGTCAAGATCTGTCTGTGAACAAATTAAAGTAAGGCTGTGTTCCCCTCGGGGGCAGCTCTCCACAGGCAGCTTTGCTGTGGATTTGCAGAGCCCTGGTGCTCTCCTCTGTGGCACAGAATTCCCGGTGGTGCTGCTGTTGAAACCCGTGTGCACAGCTGTGTGTGAAAAGCCTTGCACACATCAGAAGGCAGGCGAGGAGCACGGCCCTGACAGCTGTGCCTAAGGGTGCACGTCTTCTCTTAAATAAGATATGAATCTGCTGAGGGCAACAAGCCTGTATCAAAGCTTCAGGAGTGGCACAAGAACCAGGGAGGAGTCAGGAATCCATTGTGAAAGGGGGTTGATGGCTTTTGGTGTGGAACACCTGGCTCTGGCTCAGCACTGGTGCTTTGGGGGCACCTGGCAGCTGCCACTGCAGAGCTGTGAGGGGTCTCTCGCCGGGTCTGTGCCCAGCCACCCTCGGAATGGGCAAAGTCCCTCACCAGCTGTCCTCATGTGCCCGCTCCTGGGCTCTCCAGAGCAGCCCAAGCATGCCCCTGGCCTGTGGGGTTGTGATTTGTGAGCAGAAGTGTTTCTCCTGCTCCTGTGGGTGCCTTTTTTAGCTGCTGCCTTCCCTGGCTGCGAGTTTCCAGTGGAAAGGAGCTGCTGACCCTGCCCTGCACCCACACATGCAGGCAAGAAGATTTTCCCCAAGGGGCAAGAAATATTTCTAGGAAAGGAAAGCCACTTGGAGGGGTTTTTTTTGCCCCAGTAATATGTGGAGTAACATCTCAGAGCCCCAGTGCTGGCTCAGACACCTGCAGAGAAGCAGTTGAATGTCGGGCAGCTGCTCCCTGCCCGAGGGGGAGCTGTGGATGTGTCAGGGATGGGATGATGGTGTTTGTTTATAATGACTCTGGAAGGCGATAGCTGATGTTTCAGCATGTTGAACATGTGTTAGATGGGTTTAAGAACATTAGTAGATGATGTTGTAGATGGCTATAAACTGCTTGTGAGGATGTCTTTATTGATCTGTTGGACTATGGCAGCTTCTCCTTTATTAGAACTTCCATTCGTTCAGCCCCATGTAAAGGATTTATAATGTGGCTTTGATATGGATTGAGAAATAAGATTTTTTTATTGGATGTTATGGAGTTTAAAAACAACTTTAATTGGTTTGTTCTGGGAAGCTGCTGGTGAAACAACTGGTCAAATACTGAGGAAACGGCAGCTATTTTATTTGTTGAGCTAGAGGATAAAATGTTTTCAGCAGTTCATGTAGTAATATAGAGGTATTGTTTATGTCTGATGAGGCAAAGCCATTGATCATGTTGGTGGTGAATTTCAGCCCTGATCCATCTGGAAGAAGCAATCAAATCACATCTATCTGAGCCCCCTGTGGAGGGGGGATTAATGCTGCTGCTTCAGACCTGTTAGCTTCTTAATGCCATTCCATTTATTTAAAGGTTATTGTTTGATTAAATAAAAATACTGGAGTGCTTGTGAGGGTGGAAGATGCATGGGACTTTGGGGAGTGCTGCAAGACTGCGAGGCTAAACTGTGCAGGCTTCTTTAAACAAAGACTATTAAAAGTCAGAGGGAAATGCCCTGTTGCAGTAAGTGGCAAAACTCTCACCTGGTGGGGCAGGAATTTCCTGTAATATTTCTTTGTCTACTAACTTGTAACTGAACCTTTAATATGTGCCTCTGAAGGATGTGCAGCTAATGTTTATTGAAAAGAAAAGAAAAGAAGATTCTTGCGGAGTACTGACAATTATAGGCATAGAGTATAGCCTAGAGAGGGACTTTAATCTGCAATTTGCATTGTGAGGAAAGGACACCCCGTTCTCTTTACCTTCTGGAAGGATGTAATTCAAACCAAAGTGTTGAGAACAATGGGCATAGAGGAACCATATGATTTTTTTTTCCCCCTCTCCCAAACTGCTGGAAAATCCTATTGATGACAAAGTTCAGGCTGAGTCAGTGGATGGAACAACTCATGACTGGAGCGAAATAAATTGTGTCTGAAAAGTCAAGATGCTGTTTCGACGTCGCAAAAGCCATTTCAGACAGCTCTGGTTTGGAAAGATCATACGAGAAACTTTGCTGAGGAAAGGGGCTGAGGACCATCACAAACCCCCCAAAGCTCAGCCATTGACTGTGCACGGTGCCAGAGGCTCTGCACAGGCCTTGCTGCATCCTTCAGAGCTCTTGTTGAGCAAGTTTTGTGTCCTATACAGACCAGATCAGGGCTTTTTTTGCTGTCCTGCATTCATACTTACTCATCCGAGTTCTTATCTCATCATGTCACTTTATGTCACTTTAGCCAGCTGTGGCCACTATCCTGCAAAAAATGAAGGTGCAAACTCTGCTGGGGTTTTTTCCCCCCAAGCTGTGTTTTTGTGAAGGGTCTGTGCACATGTGGGAGTTGAATTCCAGGCTCTCCTGAAAGATGAGAGCTCTTTCCTTTGGAGAGAGGCACCTGGTCTTAGCTGAGCTTGAAAACGCCTTTTCCTAGAAAAAGGTCTTGTTTGCTTTCATGAGGAAGGGTCATAAAACAAAAGCATGAAATCTCCTTTCTTCTTCCCTGACCAATCTAGCCTTCGTTAGGAGAGAAGCTTCCTGATAGCTCCTCTTTGTCATGTAATGTGTCAATACCATTAAATCCACTTTGGCAAGGGAAGCGATGTATAATTAATCTGCAAATCAGTAAAGTGGATGTGATTTTTGTACAAAGGAGAAGGTCTTTTACTGCAGAAGGCTTTGTGTGGGCATGGCCACCCTTGAGCATCCCTGTCCCAGCAGTTCCCTGGGTGACACACCTTCAGTGGGGACCATTTGCTGCCCTCCAGCAAAAGGACTCAGTCAACAAATAAATGGGAACCAGGTGGGGCAGGGCTGAGGTTAGGAGTATGCAAGTACCCCTGAACACCTGCCCAGCAACTTGGTTGAACCAGAAAAATATCTTTAAGACTTTACCTCCATCCACTGGTTTTGTTGTTTTGGGTTTTTTAAAGCTTTTGCTCTAATGGAATTCTTATTATTTTGATGCAGAACGCATTAAAAAGGGAAAAGGAAAAAAATCCAAGCCCTATCTGGACTGATTTGTTCCCAGAAAGATGTTCAATTTTGTATGTATAATTGAAAGGGGCTAAATATAGCTGTATTAATATTTATGGGCCTTATGTTGGAGTCAATACAAGAGTTGCTGTTCAAGGCAATTAAGCTTTACCTTTTCACATGTAGGATTTCGGTGTTTGGAGATGACATTAGTGGTGTGACCTGCATCCAAGAGAGAAAACACTAAAAGCATGCCACCATCTGTGGAGTATGATACCCTGTATTTAGTGCTGTTTGCTGACAGGCAGTTTGTCTCCAGCGAGGCTGATCTCTCCAGGGCAGGGCTGCTGTCTTAATAGCAGGGAAATCAGGGAAATCAGTGCTGGGAGGGTTGCAGGAGAGCTGGCCCTGCTGTGTTTTGGGAGGAACTGAGCCACGAGCCTCTGTGACATCACGAAATGAGGATTGCCCACCTCTGCTGCATCTGTGGCTGCTGGGGATAAAGGGAAATCGGTGATGGTTGCACTTGGTGGATCCCGGCTGTGTTCACACCATGCACACCCCAGAGCTGGAACACGGGAAATGTGACTCTGGGAGGGCTCTCCCTGCCTGTCCCAGGGCCAGTCACAGCCTTCATGTCACCAAAGCACAGAGAAAGCAAATCCTGTCCGGAGCCCTGAGCTGCTGTAGGGAGCGTGAGCACAGGGAATTAGGTCGGGCTGTAAGGATGAAAACAAGTCAGTTTGCATGAATAACAAAGGCGAAGTGATGGTGCGCTGGATTTCTAAAGCACTGCCTTTCAAGAGAAGGATATCACTGGGATAACAGGCGAGAATCCTGGCAGTGGCTGAATTGCCCTGCATTGCTGCTTTTTGGGAGCTGCAGCTCCTCACTGCTCCAGTTAACAAAGAGCTGTGAATGCTGTAAAATCTCTCACTGATAGGGACTGTCTGAGTCCTGTCTGTCTCCTAAATTTGATCTGTGTGTCAGGCTTTTTCTTTTTCCATCTGCCCCTGACAGCTGCCTTGGGAAGGAGGGCTGCAGCAAGGAGCCTTGCATGGGTTAACCTGCCCTCGCCAGGGCTGCAGGTGGAGATTGTCTCAGTGATGCTGATCGTGGTGCTCATCTCTTCTCCAAGGACTCTTAAAATCCTGAGTGGGTGTGTTTCTGTTCTTTCCCTGGTTCGTGGTGTGTTTTGGTAGCTGGAAGCCTTTTAACCTCCTTCAGTAACCATCAGGGGGGTGCATTTTCCAAGGATTTTCATTAGCTTCAGCTGCTGGAGCACAATGGCTGCTTAAACAGGGAGGGAAAAGTGGAAATCAAAGGGCACACCTGCCGAGGGTAAAATGGGGGCCATGCTCTCAGTGGTGGAAAATGAGTTTTCAACTCCAAGTGGCCCTTTGGAATTCCACCTCAGCTCTGGGGATTTGCTCTGGGTGAGGCTGACCCCAGCACTGGTATTTCCAATTACTGATGACATAATCCTTGCCCAAAGGTGCTGGCTTCAGAGCAGAGGAGTTTTCCTTGGTGTGCCTGTGAGTGAGCCAGTCCCACCTCATCTCTGCTCCTGAACAAGGGCAAGCCAAGCCATATATTAAAGAACAAGGAAATTGCACCAGTTAAATTAAAAAAACTCATTTAGCTAAAGCAGTGTAAGCGCCCATGAATATTTATCTGATGTTATGGAAGCGTGCAGACTCCCACCTACTTTATTAAATTGATTTTCAATAAAAATGCAAGTGGAAGACATTTGATTAATGGCTGGTGGGACGGGACAATTAATGTGAAGTCTGGAGTCAGCAAGAAGTGTCCCCTGAGCCTGTGTGTCCCTGCTCAGGGCTGGGCTAAGAAAATCTTTCTGAACTCCTCCAAGGTTCCACAGCAATTATCCATGTGGTTTCTAAAACGGGGTGAACGGGAGCTGCTGTTTGGCTGCTGCGTGGTTTTGCCGAGGTCCTGACCTTGCAGCTGGCGTGTGATGTTTGCTCCCAGTGTTCTGATCTTCCCTGCTTTTCCCTGCTTTTCCCACCCCTCAGAGAAGGCTGCACCTGAGAATTAAACCCAGCAGTGAGCCCCGGCGCTCGCGTCGGGTTTGAGTGAGGCTCCCTGGGCCTTTGCATTTAAACATGCCTGGGATTAGCTCCATCAGCCTCCAGATCTGCTCAGCTCCTACCAATTTCCTGGCTCGGATTTGTCTCCTGGAGGAAGGCAATTTGGAGTTGTAACGTTACAGCTCTATTAAGGATCTCCAGCGCGGTGTCCCGCCGGGATCCTCGCGGCGCTGCTGCCGCCTCTTTGCGAGGCATTTTATTGGCATTTCTGCAGGGAGATGCTGAACATGGGGCAAGTGAGGGCTCCTGGCATGGGATCCTGCTGACTGAGGGGACTGAGCAGCCCTGCAGGGCCTGGGGGCTCCCCTGTCCCGGAGGGCAGCAGAGCTGGGGGCTCCTTGCAGCCTGGAGTGGAAATTCTGGAAAAACCTCTGGAAGCTGCTGTGGGAGGGATGTTACATCTCCCGTTCTCTGCAGGGGTTTGCAAAGCCAGGGCTGCAGGGGTTTTGGGGTGATGGTTAGGGGCAGGCAGCGTGCCTTGGTGGGCAGGGAAGGCTGGGGTTGGGCAGGAGGTGGTTCCATCTCAGCACCCCTCAGCCCCACACCTGTGGGGCACAGAGAGGCACCACGATTCCACAAGCCACTGGAACTGCTGCCCAAGTGGCACCAGATAAAAAACACCTGGGGCACAAATCCTCCCCCCAGCCAGGACGGCAGCCCCATGCCCATGGTCCTGCAGTGGGGAAGCACCTCGATGGCCTCAGCCCTTCCCAAGGGGCACATGGCACCCAAAGAGCTCCAGCCAGGTGGCACAGAGAGCATCCAGGGGCTGCAGGTGCTCCTGCTGCTGCCCCTCCAGCACAAAGAGGCTCCTGGAGTCTCTAGTCTGCAGTGCTTTGGGGTCTTCTCTACGTGCAAGTGTGGCAGCAGGGAATGGGCACAAACACTTTGACACAGTTGGGCACTTCCCTGCTGTGCTTGCTTTGCTGGGGAGCTGGGCATGGACAGGAGAGATGGGAACAGAAAGGAATTAAAGAGAAAAAATGGGGGGAGCAGATGCTGGCTATGGACAGGAGTGATGGGAACAGAAAGGAATTAAAAAAAAAAAATAAAAGGGAGCAGGTGCTGGCAAATAACTGCATGGCAGAAAAAGAGAGGGAGAGTTGTGGTTGAAAACAGAAGCTGAGGAAAGGCAGATTGGCAGGCAGCATATTCCTGGAGACAGCTTTCTCCTCTGTAGGCTGAGTCACCTAAGAAACGTGTCAATAAAACACACTCTCGGGCACTGTCTCTAATAAATATATATTTAAGAGAGACATTTCTTCAGAACTTCTGCAAGGAGATGTCGAATTCTGAAGGGATGGCATGAAAAATGACATCTCCAGTGGAAGCAGAGAGTTGCCATGGGAACTGGAACGCTTTGAACATACATCACTAAAACAAGAAAACATTTTCCCCAGCAAAGGAAATTAAAAATTACATACATCTGGAGGCATCTGCCCTCTGCCTGTCTCTGATGGGAGTATCAGAGTACCAAGCAGCATATCATAATTCATGTAGTGGGCAGGACTGACAATTCCCTATCAGCTGTTGAATTTTTGTGAGTAACTGTGATGAAAAATCCTTCCTATCCTTGGGACAGGCAATGCTGGTGTCTGAGCAGTGCTGGGGACAGGGAGATTTGGAACCAAAATGGAATTTCCTCTGAAATGGTTTTGCTCACCTGGGGATAAAACAACATCCTGAATGCACAACTAAGCCCATCATGCCCACAGGCATGAATCCAGTGCTGCCAGAGCTTGCTGGCCCCATTTGGCAGCCAGGGATTTTCCTGGGCAGCAGGGAAGGCAGGGGAGAGGGGATGTCCTGGAGGAGCACAGTGAGTGTTTGGGGTTTATCTTGTGCTGTGGAGACTCTGTTTTCCCGTGCAAGTGTGGGGCAGCACAGCCAGGAGGAGTTATTTGCACCTGGCAGTCAGTGAAATTCTTCATTTCCTTTTTCCTTCTTTCCCAGTGCCTTTCTCGGTGCATGGCAGAGGTGGCACAGGGTGAGCCCAGGGGAAATGCTAAACTGACCAGTGCAGGGCAGTGTGAATTAAATAAGTTTATTTGCACACTGTATTGGCATTGCTGAAATAAATAAGCACTGGCCATGCAGCCCAGTGACCCTGTGTGTGACAGGGGACAGACAGTGACCCGTGTGTGACAGGGCACAGACAGTGACCCTGTGTGACAGGGGACAGTGACCCGTGTGTGACAGGGCACAGACCGTGACCTGTGTGTGACAGGGCACAGACAGTGACCCGTGTGTGACAGGGCACAGACAGTGACCCTGTGTGACAGGGGTCAGACAGTCACCTGTGTGTGACAGGGCACAGACAGTGACCCTGTGTGTGACAGGGGACAGTGACCCGTGTGTGACAGGGGACAGTGACCCGTGTGTGACAGGGCACAGACAGTGACCCGTGTGTGACAGGGCACAGACAGTGACCCATGTGTGACAGGGCACAGACTGTGACATGTGTGTGACAGGGCACAGACAGTGACCCTGTGTGTGACAGAGCACAGACCGTGACATGTGTGTGACAGAGCACAGACCATGATCCGTGTGTGACAGAGCACAGACAGTGACCCGTGTGTGAGGGCACAGACAGCTCGGTGCAGAGCTGGGCTCTGCCACACACACCACGCTGGGGTTCATGGAGAAGGGAAAACATTTGTCTGCAGTGCCCCGGGAGCGGAGGTGAAGCCTGCCAGAAGCATCACCGTAGGCACAGTGTCTGAGGAGCTGATTGAGTTCTCTGCCGAAGGAAATGCCAGCCAGGAGCTAATGGATAAGGGAAGCAGAGTGCAAATTACAGTTTTGTTCCCTGCTATGGTACTCTTGTATCTTGTCTCAGTACCTGGTGATGGCCTCAGGGGACAGGCTTGAAAATTAAATGGGCCCTTCCTCTGAGCTGTACAGCAACCCCCAGGAGTCACTTTCTTCTATTTTTTTTATTTCCATTTTTTGCCCACTACAGCCTGTCACGTTTTCCTGCAATGCTCAGCCTGCAGAGGAGCCTGCAATGAGATGCAGCCAGGGGCACAGGCAGGCAGCACCGGGGCTGGAAGGCACCTGGGGAGACTGAGGCAGGCAGAGCTGCCTTCAATGCATGCTCAGAGCACTGACTGGAGCCCAGAGCTCAACCTGCAAACCCCATGCACTTGGCTGAGACATCCCTTTGCTTCCTCCTCCCTCTGCAAGGACACACATTTAATGCAGAGGTGGTTTGAGTGAGACTGTTTGGTTTGGGGACCCTCATGACAAGAGGGAGATCGAGGGGCTGGAGCGTGTCCAGGGAAGGGAACGGAG